AGACTGGAGCCAGGACTGACCCCTGGGGGACACCACTAGCCACAGGCCTCCAACTTGACTCTGCGCCATTGACCACAACCCTCTGAGCTCGGCCATCCAGCCAGTTCTCAAGCCACCTCACCGTCCACTCATCTAGCCCACGCTTCCTGAGTTTACCTAGGAGGATGTGATGGGAGGCAGTGTGAAAAGCCTTGCTGAAGTCCAGGGAGACAACATCCACTGCTCTGCCCTCCTCTACCCAGCCAGTCATCCCATCAGAGAAGGCTCTCAGGTTGGTGAAGCATGATTTCCCTTTGGTGAAGCCATGCTGACTACTGCTGATCACCTTCTTGTCCTCCACGTGCTCGGTGATGACCTCCAGGACGAGCTGTTCCCTCACCTTTGCAGGGATGGAGGTGAGGCTGTCAGGTCTGTAGTTCCCTGGGTCCTCCATCTTGCCCTTTTGGAAGACTGGGGTGACATTGGCCTTCTTGCAGTCCTCAGGCACCTCTCGTGTTCTCCAGGACCTTTCCAAGATGATGGAGAGTGGCCTAGCAATAACATCTGCCAGCTCCCTCAGCACTTGCATGGACTTGTGGATGTCAAGTTTGGACAAACGATCTCTAAGCTGATCCTCCTCCCCCAAGGGAGAGTCTTCCTTTCTCCAGACTTCCTCCCTGGTCTCCAGGGTCTGGAATTCCTGAGGGCTGGCCTTAGCAGTAAAGACTGAAGCAAAGAAGGTGTTCGTTATCTCTGCCTGCTCTGTATCCTTCGTCATGAGGGTTTCAGCAGATAATTGGGGAGGGTAGATTAAGGAAGGTAAAGAAGTGTATTCATTCATTCATGATTACATGGTCTATTTTCTTGGGCCTTATTAAAGAAAAAGAGTTAAAATCCTTATCAGTATGTTTGCAGGTCCATTGCTAGTGATGAAAGGGTCTGATTTTTCTCTCCACTGTTGTTTAAAAAAAAAAAAAAGTTAGTTGCCTCAGTGAGTGAAAGGTTGATAATTGCTGCTTGCAGTTAAGGATGCTTGTTGATAAGATTTTCTCATATTGAGCTGTTTTTTTGTCACAGTTATACCTGGCTAGACTGATCTTTTTAGACCTTAGTCCTGTGTCTGTATGTTCTTGTGTGAATGAAAATACGAAAACCAGTAGCAGTGTTGTGAAATAAAATCCAGTGGGCTCATTTGTGTATTGCTTCTTCTCTATACCTACAGTTAAAGAGAACCTTGCTAATTTGTACTAATTATCCCTTTAGAGACCGCTGTAGTTTAACAGTTTTGCTTCATCTCAGAAATTTAGTTATACATTGCTATTTCAGCTATTCTAGGCTGAAGAAAAAAATAGTCACATTTTTACATAGTTGATTCTTGATAAGAACTTGTATAAAAGCTTGTATATCAACTTAGAATGTATTTCTTCACTGAGAATGACCATATGTTGGGGGGAAAAGCTGTTGGTATAACCTGTTATTTTGTTTTTCAGTGCAGAATATGGACGAAGGAAAAGAAATGCTTTTAGAATACAAGTCGAAAAAGGTAGTTTTGTTAGTTTTATGTCTAAGATGCCAAGCACTAACAAATTCTCTGATTATACTTTGGCCATTTTCTTATTATATGTTTGAACTTTTTCTTCAGTGTTTGCAATAATCAGTAACGAAAAAGGACATGAAGATTTAGCAGTTTTAGAAGCTGAACATGTGGCAAAAAGAGCCAGACGTGGACAAGAGAAAAACGAGTAAGCGAGAGGAATTTTTACTGGAAGTTGACTTTAGTAATGCTGTTAATATTTAGCATTTATTTAAAGCTTTCTGTGTTATATTACTACATTTTGATTGTTTCACAATAGATCCTTGATCTGCCATAGACCAGTCTTCATCAGGATTTACCTGTAGTTATTAAAGCACTTTTTTTGCTGAAGACAGGCAGATACAAAAGAGTTGATCATAATTTCTCTCCCATGGTGAAGACATGACCATGAATTACTGGATGTCTGTGGGGCTTCCTGTAGTTTTCCAGTACGCCTCAGTCCCGCAAATGGTTCATTTCCTTTGTTTAGTTTTGTTCTTCATCCTTCATGAGTCTGATGTATATTATCCAAATCTAAGGGATACAACTCTTTGTGGTGGCAAATTTAGAGCATGCTAATCAGGAGTTGTTTTTCAGTCTTTCTGTATTGTGGTTCTCACTTTGGGGAATTGTATTTGTTCTGTTTTGTGGGTGTCTCACTTGTGTGCTGCTGTGATACGTTAAAAGAATAGTTTTTGTCTTCCTTGCAAAGGACTGTGGGAAGTGCCACAGATGGCTCTGAGGATGATGATTATCCAGAAGATCTAGTAAGTTGTTTTTTATTGTGATCGTGTATATGTGCATAAACATATCACAGTATGTGAAATCCCAATGCCCTTGGAGTATTTAAAAGTGGAGAAGAGAAATGGGATGAGGTATAGTTGGCAAATCCAACTGAGACTCTTTAGAGCTAAAAGGAGGCTATTTTCTGAAGGAAAAAAATGAAGAGCATGTGGTGGGAATCATTTTTGAAGAAAGCGCACTGGAGGCCCAGAAGACTTGGCTCTTGAATGAAGTGTTTGAAGGAACTGGTAGATCTCATTGTTACTAAGAATGGTAACTGTCAGTGACAGGGGTCATTTAAGGGTAAATTGCAAAAGCTGTTGCCTCTTCAGCTATCGGATGTACTTTTGTATGCGTTTGATTTGCAGAGCAGTGGGTTGGAGGATACATCCTTACTTTTTCCAGTGAGGGTAATGCTGACTGATGTTTATGAAATAGTCTTCATTGGTACTTTTTGCTCTGTGTTCTGTTAATATAAATAATTCAAATTATAGCACGTGTATTTTACTGATTTTTTTTTTTTTTAAATATATGAATTTGCAGTCTACAAATCACATGAACAGCTCCCTGCTGAGCTTGTACAAGAAAGGAAATCCTGATTCTGTTCCGACCACTCCAAAAAATGAACCATTGGAAGCCCCCTCTCCTGTGCAAACAACAGCACCCCGAACAAGCAGTCTTTCACCAGGAACTCGAGTTGAAACAAGGATCTCTGAAGGTGGCTGGTTCATCGATAAAACTCCCTGTGGAAAAGACTTCTTCATTGACCTTTCTGAGGATGGAGAAGGAGATGAGAAGAAATTAATTTCTGAGGTAATGTGTTTTACAAGCTCAATGGGATTTGGGTAGCAAGTATGTATATAATTTCCTACCTAATTTGACAGGCTTTTGTAGGATGATATTAAGACTAATAGGACTGTGTCTTTCTTTCTGGATTTTAAAATATATTGTTATTACAAACATTCTTGCTCTGTTAAAAATAGTAAGAATATTAAAAGGGTAGATTGACTTGAGCATGGTAGAATACTAACTTTTAGCTTATTTTGTGAAGAAAACAGGACTTATCCCATTGGTATGCCCTGCCAGATAAAATTTTGCACCTTCTGGCCAATTTCAAGCATGTTTATCTGAGAGGTAAAAGCCTCAAAATTATGAATTTCCTACTATTTTTGAGAAAATGTAGTGGTCAGTATCTGAGGAGACCCAGATGAGTGCCCCCACTGACAAAAAGGTGGAATTCAGTTGCTGTTTCTTGTTTGTCAGTGACTAGTCCAACTAGTCAGCAAGCATGTGGCTTGCTGTGTAAGCCACAGCATGTAGTGTTCCTTAGGCAGTGGTTATGTCTTAGTGAGCCAGAGGAAAGCTGAAGTGTTTGAGATAGGCCAGGGCTGGGGAATTTGAAAGGCTTAGAAATAACATTGAGTTACAGAGCAGTTTAAAATAGGTGCTACCTCTCACCCAAGCATTTTGCTCACTTTGTGAGTTTTTTTTCCCAATTTTTTTCTTATTTAAAAAAGCTTTATTTAGCTGTGGAAAGCTTTCCATTCATATATGGGAGATTACCTTCATGTAGTACTGCTGACTTTTTGGCAGAATGCACTTTTTTATGTGATGGAAGGACTGTATTTACTGCTACCTTACTATTACAGAAAATGCTCACTGAATAGGCAGATTTGAGAAACAGTCCTTCTATCCTAGTAGTGTTGCATCCTCTTGCACAGGGAAGTGAATAGAAGGGAGATATCAAATTGTAAATTGTCTACAATACTGTATTTCAAAATAAAAGAGAAGTTCCTGACAGTCTGTTTTTTTTCCCTCTCCCTATATTGATCCTTTTCTTACATGCACTTAACTTGTATCACCACTGCATAATACATATTTACAACACTCATGATTTACTAGTAATTAATATTGCTTCTAGTGGAGTAAATATGTTGATACAATTTTTTAAAGGCACAAAGTGGATTGCTATACAGTATGCAATTTTTTTTTTAGTTCAGTCATAGGTATGTATTATTACCACAAAAAAAAAAAAAAGACTGATACAATTAATCCTTAACAGAAAAAAATCTGAATATGAATCCTAAGTAAAAGAATTATTTTCTGCAAAAAGGAAGGGTTAAATATCTGGTTAAAATGCGTTTTGTTCTTGTAAGTGTTTGTAGAAATTCAGTGACTCTGAAGGTTTTGAGTATGTATTTTTGTTTTGTATGCCCTAGAAATCAACAGATTTTTCTGTCCTGGAGAGTGAAAGAAAGAAGACAAAGGGTAAGAGAGCAAAAAGAAAAAAAGAAGAATTTCCAGATGTAGATGGACAAATTGAGTCTATGTTACTTAAACAGAAAGGTGAGAAGTTATTTTTGGCATACTGTTCTACACAAAGCCTGGTAGGTGACTGTGGAATCCATGACCAGAGGAACGTTACTTTTTCCACGGTGCAGATAGATGACCTTGACAGATAGATGACCTTGAGTGTTTTAAGAAATTTAACCTTTTTGTTGAACTAAAACATATTCCAGTCCTGTGTCTGCTATCAGAAAATGATTTTGTTCCATGTACTTAGCTGGTTGTTTAGGCTGAATTCTTTCTTGTTTTGTCTTGGCAGCTACTATTATGCTATACCTAAATTTGTATGACTTATTTTTCTTCCTTAACAGTTAAAAGTAAGGGAGCAGAGCTTTACCACCCTTCAGTGAGGTTTGAGGATGTAGGAGGCAATGATGAGACTCTGAAGGTTAGTTATAATTTTAATTGTGGAACAGAGAAGGTACTGAATAAAGCAGTGTATGGAAAATAAATAAAAAAAGGAAATCTAATAGAACTAATCTGTATGGAACTGAGAATGGTTGCTTGTACCAACAGCAACAGATTTTTTTTTTTCCCCCTCTGATTAACCTTTCCGAAGGTAGTCACTGAAATTATATGAAGAAACAGAGTTTTTATTTTGGTCTTTCTGTGATATTAGTAATCGGTAATACTAGTTTCTGTAGTTTAAAGGGAGATCTATCTTGTCTTTAACAGGAAATATGCAAGATGCTGATTCATGTCCGTCATCCTGAAGTCTATAACCACTTAGGTGTGGTTCCACCTCGCGGTTTTCTCTTACATGGACCACCAGGATGTGGAAAGACACTAGTTGCACAGGCAATTGCTGGGGTAAGATAGCCTTAAACTTAGGCTTCTTCCTTTTTGCTTTTTGAAATACGTTTAGAGAGAAAAGAAATACTCCCTCTTTTATGATAGGCTAGATCTTTTCCTCTATCTTTTTTATATCTTTTCTCTCATTCCTATCTTACTCTAAAATATATTCATTTTCACTTCCTTTCTTTAAATTCCACCTGAATCTGTACTTGATAGAACCTCATACGAGGAGGGGCACGGTGGTGAGGTTTTATGTTGGATTTGATTGTCTTGAAGCGTTCCCAGGAGAACGAGATCAGCATGGATATTGAGAAGGCTATAAATGGCAGATATTTCTGGTTAAAATTACTCTAGTATTTTGTTTTAAGGCTGGGCTCAACCTCAGTGTCTTTTGTGAGGTATTACAGTGATCCTATTGGGTGGCATCTGTTAAACAGTAATTTCTGAATTCAGAAACTGGTGGTTGCCTTGCCTATGTCAAACTAACGATTTCAGAACACGACATCATCAGTGTAAACAGCTTGGGGTGTGGTGGGGCTGCTTCTACATTGCTCTGAGTCTATCTTGGGTATAAATTTATACTTATAAATTTATTTATACCCAAGACAGGCTATTCAGGGCTATTCACTGAAAATCATGGCCATGTTTTTCCTGTTGTTTTTAATACATCTGTTCATCAAATGTTACAAATTATAGCTTTAAATGTAGGCCCTATGTGCAAATTTTGAAATTCTGAAGAACAGCTTTTATCTTTGAAATAAAATACTTAGGCTTATTACTTAAAAGTTGATTAGACCCTTCTAACATTACTTTTCAAATATTGTAATTCAAAAGGTTTTCGTGTTTGTTTGTGTATGGTTTTTTGCTTGTTTGGTATTCTTGTTTTGGGGTTTGTTTTTTTTTTTTTTTTTTAATACCTTACTGAAAAATGATACCTGTTCAGTGAATCTGTGATATTTAATACTTCAACAGGTATTTTTACCCTGGAGGGTTGCTAAATTTGAGGGGAAAAAAGCAAGACACCTCAGTGAAAATTTTTCATAAATAAGATAAATCGAATGAATACTTCTTAAATAATTTTCTTAGATAAGATGTTACTGTGTTCATTTCCATAATTGTCAGTATTGCTAATTAAGGCAGCTCGTCCCTATTGTATAAAATTTGGCGAGTGTCTTCTACAGGCCCCATGTAGTGCCCCTGGTGGTTCTGGTATGTATAAATCAGTTCTTTTGTGTGTAGTTCAAAGTGCCTGAAATAGTGTTTAACATTCATGTTAAAGCCTATCAAAGTGTTTCTTCTTGTTGCTGATTTTTTTTTAATAGCAGAAAACCTTGGATGTGGGATTTACATGCATTTGGTTGTACAATATTGCTAGGGTACTTCTGGAGCAAGACTAAGGGAACCAAACTTGGTAGGATCGCCTCCATACTGCTAATTAGGATTTTGTCATCGAGGGAAACAGACACTTTTCTCAAGAGGGGAGCCCAGGCGTGAACTGAAGTGTATGTGTTGTAAAGGGTCTGGTCCAGGACCAGGGAGCAAAGCTATTTGACCTTTCGGACATTCTCTAACTGAATTAAGGGAACCTGGTTTCTGTATCTGTTTCTGTCCGCTTGGTCAAATGACTTGGATTCATTTAAAAATGGAGGATATTAGTCATCTTTTTAAAAGCACTTTAGGGCTCATGCTTGATTACGTGATCTTTGGACGTGAAAGGTTTTGTATGGGAAATACTTCTCCTTTAGGACAGCCTGTGTTTCTGTCCTCTCGTTATATCCTACAACGCTCCTCGTCTCTTTCAGGAACTTGAGCTCCCAATGCTGAAAGTAGCAGCAACAGAGATGGTGTCCGGAGTGTCAGGGGAATCTGAGCAGAAACTGAGAGAATTGTTTGAGCAAGCTGTGGTGAGACACCCATGGGAAATAACATTGAATTGTTTGCAGTTTTCTTTGTAAAAATGCATATTTTGCTGCTGTGGTTTGAATTTGAGTGAATTATTAGTGAGTGAATCTTTATACTGCTGCACATAAGTCATAGTGTCTGCTCTTCTGTGAGACCAGAACTCCATAGTACAAAGTGTCATGCAGTCATAGAACAAAAAGATTACTATTTTAAACTCTTGACAAAGGATACGTTATTATACTAATGTAAATGGAGCAACATAAAGTATATGTAAACCTATGTGGAGTTGCTTGGCTTTATTTATAAACATAAAATAAAGTAGGGGCAGTTTACTGTCCTTTTTTAGTTACGCGGTTTTTTGGGGTTTTTTGTCTAGCTTTAAATTTTAGTGAAGATCTTTGGGTTTTTTTAGACATAAAATAAGAAATTTTGTAGAAATATTGAAAGGCAGGAATAAAGTTACAGTCAAAGTCTTGTTCTATCTTAATATCAGCGTTAAGTTACTGCCTGATAGGCAGCTGGATTTAGTAGTGATTACGTGCTCCGGTAGTAAGATGTTGAGGCAGCTTTCAGTCTTGGTAAAAAGCAAAGAGAAGCAGACAAGTTGAGATAATGCTAATTTAAATAAATGCACATTTTTCTTTTTTTTTAATATATGGCTAATATTTATTTCCTGAGAACAATTTTCCATTTCTAATCTCTGAGAATGTTCTACTTTTCCAACTTTATTCCTGTCTTCTACCCTCCCTCACATCTGAATGTAGATGTTCAGAGTATGTTCCAGTACAGAAGACTGCTGAACAGGGTAAAATGATTGTGAAGTCATTTCGTTATTATGTTGCAGGCTCATTCTACATTTTGGGTTTTAGAAAACTTCAGTAAGATTTCTTTTTAATGTAAAATAAAATAAAAATGGTAGCACAGAGTTTCTAGAAATTAATTTTTTTTTTTATGTATAGTGATTGAGGGGAGGTTGCTATGAAGTTATTTTTGAAGAAATGAAATTTATTGCATAGTGCGTGTTTAGAAATAAAATCTATTGCTTTTCCCAGAGTCTCTTGCATTCACTTAAGTGCCTTTCCAATCCCTAACTCTTGTGCAGGGAGGAAAAAAAACGTAGTTCTACTGTACCTTGTGCATGCACTTTGTAGAATGCTCATAGTTCAGTTGCGTTTGTTCTCTAGCAGATGGAGAAAAAGTGAATGACAACTAGGTGGCGCAGTTAGCATCTGATAACACAGAAAGTGCAGGTTTTAAAGTGCTATTTTTAATATGGGAATTTAGACTTTTTGGAGGAAGCTTCCAGTGTTTTCCTCGAGTATGCCTTTGCACTATTAGTGCTTCTTGATTGGTGATCTTGCGTCATGTAAACACTATTCTTTTCTATTAGTTACGCTAATTATTTTTCTGCTAGTATTGGCTTTTTATGAACATGGAATACCTGAAATGTTAGAATATTGCCCACTTTTGCTCTTTGAACATGAGCAGGGTCTTGTAGTAATTTTGAACTGGCAGATCATTTTCCGTGACCATTTAGCCCCCCCCCCCTTTTTTTTTTTTTGGTTTCGTTTTGTTTCATTATGTGCGTGGGTAATAGTAGCTCTCAAAATTCCACAGCTCTAATGTCATTAAAGAATTCAGAAAAGAGACCTTTTTTTTCTGATTTCTTTTTTTGGACTAAAGTGAGCAAACAGTCAGGAGGGAACAGTATTTGTAGAAGACATAAAGCAACATAGAGGTACATCTGAATTTTAACCAAATGTAGGGACATGTTGAATCCCGTGCCCTAATTATTTCACAGCCTCAGCCCAGCACAGTTTCATAGTCTGACTGCTCTCCTGAGAGAGTGAGTGAGAAGAACAAAATTGTATTGGAACGGGTTAATTGTTCAGTGCATGCAGCATACTTACAGTTTTAAAACAAAGAAAATGTGAGAATTCTTTCCCTCTCCTAATACACTATCTCAGTGAAATTTTGTAGTTACTAATGTTTCTTATTCCTAGTCCAATGCACCGTGCGTCCTTTTCATAGATGAGATTGATGCAATCACCCCGAAAAGAGAAGTTGCATCGAAGGACATGGAGCGGAGAATAGTTGCCCAGCTTTTAACTTGTATGGATGGTCAGTTTCCAGAACATCTGCACTAAGCTAAACTTGCAAATTAACAGGTTCCCCATCTTCTTCCCTTCAGTATTGACTCATGCTTACTTTTGTGGGAATGTGGTGGTAATTTTTTGTGTTTTGGCACGATTTTACTGGGGGAGGAAGCTTCTGATAAATGTGAGGTGATATTATTCCATTACTTTCGCAGCCTTATGTACAGCCTTGTATCATCCTGTGTTATATAAACAGACATAACGAGAAAATGTTTCCAGTGTTATGTGATGTGTATTTCTGCTTGGCTATGTGAAATATGAAATAGAAACTGTTAGTGGAAATAATGGGTAAACAGGAGTTCAGTGTGACTCTCGGTTAGTTTATCCATACTCTTACGAGCATTATTGTGTGCTGCAGAAAGAGGGTGGCATAAATAGCGGAATAAAGTTGACAAGGTGAATGCAAGTACTAACTTCTTTCCTTTGTTTAGACTTGAATAATGTGGCTGCCACTGCCCAGGTCCTTGTTATTGGAGCAACTAACAGACCTGACTCATTGGATCCTGCATTGAGGAGAGCTGGGAGATTTGATCGAGAAATTTGTTTGGGGATCCCAGATGAAGCAGCAAGAGAAAAGTATGTGTTACAAAGTTTAAGCTTCTTTTTGATTAAAAATTGTTTTAATTTAGCATATAAATTAAGGAAAAGTACTTTATTGTGTTTAGCCCTATATGTGCCTGTACACATCTACATGTCAGCACGCACTGAAAAGTGCAGAAGACACTAAGTGTGCATCTGCTCTATCTTAATAGCTGTGTTAATGTTTAGCGTGGTTTCCTTTCTTAAAGCTGCAAGTCTGTGCTTAGCAATATTTTAATGGGTTTTAAAGTACCTTAAGAGTACAGACAATGGATTTTAATGTATCTTTTTTATAGTTCAAGAATTAGGCATTCTGTCTTCAATACTTCCTATGTAACTATTTGATTATTAACACGAGTTAGGTATAGACTCTTTGTTAGTCCTCTTGAGTGCATAACTTAAGCAACAGGCCTCTTCCCTTTCACTCTTTCAGGAAATACATCAGTCTAGGTGTTAAGCTGGGCTGCAGTCATCCTGTTTTGTGTTTCATCTATTTAATCAGACTTGATTGAAGAGATGCATTTTACACGTTTTTTCTTCTTCCTTCTTGTAATAAAAAAGAACTGCTACTCATTTCTGCAACAGTAGAAAGCACATAAAGAGTGTAAACAGCTCTGGCTTATCTTCTTGTTAGCAGAAGGAAAGAAAGGTTAGAGGATAAGTTCCTTCTAGTGCAGCTAATCTTATTTCCAGCTTGAAAAGCAAACTATACTGCTTGCAGCATTGCTTCCTTTATCTCTCTTTTTCCCTCAGCAGCCTGTCAGTTTGTCAGTGCTGAGAATTACTGGCGACTCTTCCACGCTTTTTTAAAATTTACAGTCCTGTAATAATTGTGTTCCTTTCCTTGGCTGTGGGAAAACAGTTAAATGATGAGGGGTGCAGCTGAAGAGTTGCCTCCTGAGAGCTTGGATTGGGTAATGTTTGTTGGATTCATGTTAAAATTATGATATTCCCAGTGCTGTTTCAAAGAACAGGAATTGTGAATGAGTAAGCCATGGTTGTCTAGCAACCTTATCAAAATCTTGGTTATTTGTAAGTAGTTCAGCTTATTCACAAGTTGAAGTGTATTTGCGTTCTTTCATACTGTTATTTTGTATCATTCTTAGATGTGAAGACTTACCAGAACTTTTGATTTTACCGTTTTGTTTTTGTGTGTGTGTTTGTGTTTTTTGTTTGTTCTATTCCTTTTTCCTTTTTTTTTTTTTTTTAAGGAAAAAGGTCATATACAAAAAAAAGTCTTATATTGATTTACTGCATAATAAAATGATCTTGTTGAAGGGGTATTTTGAACTAGTTACTTGTTAGTGCTGTTGGTTAGAACATTTTGTTGGGGGGGAAGGGAGAGAAAGTGTATGTGGAAATCTTGTTTTATTTTGAGGGTTTTCTTGTGCATGGATGAAGCAGGCTTGCATAAGAAAATAATATAGGTAGAACACAAATTGAGAATTAGTCACTCGTAATTCTTAACTTTTTCACACCCTAAGTCGTTTGACTAGCTACAGCTGTTGTCAGACAGGTTGAAAAATCCTTGGGAACCAGGCTCCTATCACTAATAAAAATTCAAGTGACAGATAATGGATCCTGTTAGTAGAGAAGAAAAGCATATAAAATATACTATCATTTCAGAGTTTTGAATTGTTTAATGAAGCATTCTGTTCAAAAATTTTCTGCAGTTAATTACTTGATCTGAAAATAATTTAAACTCGTTTTCTTTTGAAATGAAAAAGTATGTTAATGATCTTTACTTCTTTGGATCGTGCTGCTTTTTTAATTAAAATGTTTTCCTAGTGAAGTGATGTTTGGCTGTTTGAAACAACTTGAACCCTCTGCTCAAACTTGTCCAGTGTTGACACTGGGTTTTGTCTTTATCTAACCATTAATGTAATTTTCAGTTGTCATTGGCTAGAAGAGCAGTGGGAAATGTTGCTGGACCTAGAAGGAGATTTTTAAAGCTTCAGCCTGTGTACAGAATGGAAAAACTATCTAGGTTCCAATAAAAATCGGTGTAAGGAAGTATAGCACTTGATTGTCAATTATATAGAGCTGTTTAATATTAGCAGTGGAGAGATATTGAAGGCTAAAAGACAGAAATCCTTATGCAGTCTGATTTCATTTGTTTGTTCCTCATAGAAATGCTTTGTTATGGATGTTCTTCACTAGATAAATAGAAGTGAGGTGAAACATGGAATCGGAGTAAGATTGTGTGGGAACACAGGGCAGCTAAACATCTGAATGACTAGCTGTTTGAGCCTCTGTGATAGGCTCCCTGAGATAGAGTCTACCCGTTTAGAATCATGAACTAAGGTTTAAAGAATCTATAATATTTAGATTAAGCAAAACTATTTTTTTCTCCACTGAATGAGGTTGCCTAGTAGTTGATACTGTTGGTTTTCATTTAAGTACCGAAAGGAGATGTATAAAATAGTTTTGTGGGTTTTGATATTAGTTGCTTTCTAGTTGAGTGCAAGTTATTCCCATTGTACTTCCCTTTATGTGGGCTGAAAGAGACCTTAAATCTTAAATCAAAGCTGTTTGTTTTCATATGGAAATTTAAAAGGCTGCACTTTATCCTTTTTTTTGTTGTTGTTTTTCTCTCTTCTTGTTCAGAATTCTGAAGACTCTATGTCGAAAACTTAAGCTGCCTGAGTCCTTTGAATTTCATCATTTAGCACATATGACTCCAGGTTATGTAGGTGCTGATCTGATGGCACTTTGTCGTGAGGCAGCTATGTGCACAGTGAACAGGGTTCTGATAAAATCTGAGGAGCAGAAATTGAAACACATACAGGCTGGAGGAAACACAGCTGAAGAAAGCATGGAAATTGGAAGAGAAATTCTGGTGAAAGAGGATACCAAACAACTAGAGCTTCTGTCTAAGGTATTTGTTCCTTTAAGTATGTGCCTTTAACTTCTTAGCAATGAGCATCTGAACAGCTTTAGGGTTGTGAAAGTCTTTGCTTCTAAATCCGCCAACATCTACGTATAACACTAAGTTTAGATTTGGAAATACCAGCTCCTAAGCCCGATGGCCCACTCCTAAAGGCCCACGTGATGAGTCTGAATAAGAAGCTCCCAAAACATAAGCCTTCTAAAAATCGTTTTAATGGTTTACACAGGAAGAGCTTTTTATTTTTGTTTTCCAGGGCAGACCAGGGGCTAAAACAGTGGTTATAACTAATGTATTTTTGAAGAGAGTTATTTGAGGTAAATCGCAGGCAGTATCTGGTACCTGTGAAAAGTCTGAGGAAGAGGCACTTTAAAAATTATCCAGAAGACGAATTGGATTAGCAATGTGACTTGAGCTGCAGAAAGTATCTGTTAATGTGCAGTACAACTGGAACTCCGTTGCACCAAAAAACTGATATTTCAGAGCGTTAAAAATCCACGGTGTACTCAGGTTCTGGTTTTAGAAGGACTGGCAAGGAAAACTGTTATTTTAACTAAGATAAACAGTGTAAAAAGCAGTAACAAGACTTTTTATTAGGGTAATATAATCATACTGCATGCCTCTCAGTGTTTCCTGGGGCCTGATGTAGCCAAAAGTTGGGGGGCAGATAGTTGCAGCCTTTTATCAACATCAGCTTGATCAAAGCGGTTATTGAGGATGAGGAAATCTAATCATAACAGAGCCATATTTTGATAGCTGGCAGGAGGTCAACATAGTCTAACACAGGGTATTGTCATTAAAACAGTAATATTATGTTTATCGTGGAAAAGTAAATATACAAAACCTTTAAAAATAATCCACGCAGTTCAAGTAAATGAACCTAGTGGTCTCAGCTATTTCAAAGTTTTTCCTAACGGTTCTGTTAAGAGGGAGGGATTAAGAGGAAATATCAGGCACTATAAACATTTTTGTTCCTTTTTGGCAGCTGTAGTGCTATCTTAGTTGCAACAAATATGAAGTGATATTTTCCCCGTTCGCTGCTGAAGGAAAAATGTAGAAACTAACAGGATTTTTGCAGTTTTTTTCCCTCTATCTTCTCATGAAAATCCTGGTACAATTTTGCTTGTGTCACATCACTTTAATACTGCCTTTCCATATTAGCACTGGGATATATTTATGTTGTGAGAGTATGATGTTCTTTGATCGAGTATCTGGTAAGACCAATCTTCAGGAATCCTAAGCCCGAGACCAGAGGCGAAGCAATGAAGACTTGCTGTTGGTGAAGGAGGATCACATTAGGGAACACTGAACAAGTTGGACATATGGAAGTCTGTGGGGCATGATGGAATGCATGCACGAGTGCTGAGGGAGCTGAGTGATGTCATTGCCAGGCCACTCTTGATTGTCTTTGAAAGGTCGTGGTGTTTGGGAGAGGTGCCTGAGGACTGGAAGAAAGCAAACATCATCCCTGTCCTCAGGCGGGGCAAGAGGGAGGATCCAGGGAACTACAGGCCAGTTAGCCTCGCTTTGATCCTTGGGAAGGTGATGGAGCAACTAATCCGAGATACCATTTCCAGACATGTGAAGAAAGATAGGAAGGTGATCAGTAGTCAGCGTGGATTTGCGAAGGGGAAATTGTGCTTAACTAATCTGATAGCCTTCTATGATGAGGTGACTGGCTGGGTGGATGAGGGAAGAGCAGTGGATATTGTTTCCCTTGACTTCAGCAAGGCTTTTGACACAGCCTTCCATAACATCCTCATAGGCAAGCTGATGAAGTATGGGCTAGATGAGTGGACAGTGAAGTGAATTGAAAACTGGCTGAACTGCCAGGCTCAGAGGGTTGTGATCAACAGCACAAAGTGCAGCTGGAGGCCAGTCGCTAGTGGTGTACCCTGAGAATCAATACTGGGGCCAATACAGTTTAGGATCTTTGTTTGGTCCCTGGCTGATGGGACCAAATGCACTATAAGAAAACTATTGTTATTTCCATTGGCATAACCTTGATTAAACTTAGCATCAGTGCTTGGAGTAGGGAAGCTTGCAGGCCTAAGCTTGAACTTTAACCAAACCTGTGGGATACTGCTGACAGAACAACTGCAGAACCAACTAGAATCAGCCCTCAAAGATACAGAACACAGTGGAGAGAGGTGGCAGTTAACCTTTGGATAAGATACAGAACACAATGGCCAGAGGTAACGGTTAACCTTCGGATAAGATAAGGTAGTGTGAAGCAGGAGCACAGCAACCATCCTGAGAAGTAGACATGAACCAATCAAAAGGAAAGAGACCACCGACTCAGTAAAGATGATAGGAAGAGATTGTCACTGGCAGGTGGGGAAATAAGACAGACTGTAAGGAGTATAATTATCCCAGAATTTCTTTGTTCGGGGTCCCTTTTTGAAGGCACCCAACTCAAGCTGAAATAAACAACCGTAAAAGAGTCAGACTCTGACTTAGTGGTGGATGCCTCAGGACCCTTTATAACGTGCACCCTCAGCAAGTTTCCAGACGGTGCAAAACTGGGAGGAGTAGCTGATGCACCAGATGGTTGTGCTGCCGTTCAGAGGGACCTCTGGAGGCTGGAGAAATGGGCAGAGAGGAACCTTGGGAAGTTCAACAAAGGGAAATGCAGTATTACATGTGGGGAGAAATATCCCCCTGCGCCGGTACAGGCTGAGGACTGACCAGCTGGAGCAGCTTTGCAGAGAAGGACCTGGGGGTCCTGGTGGACAATTTGAACATGGGCCAGGAACGTGGCCCTTGTGGCCAAGAAGGGCTGCATTAGGAACAGTGTTGGCAGCAGGTCAAGGGATGTGATACTTGCCCTCCACTCATTACTGGTGACGTCACATCTGGAGCGCTGTGCCCAGTTCTGGGCTTCCTAGTCTAAAAGAGATGTGGACCTTCTGGAGTGAGTCCAGTGAAAGGCCACGTAGATGATTAAGGGACTCGAGCATCTCTCATATGAGGAACGGCTGAGAGAGCGGGGCCTGTTTAGCCTGGAGAAGAGAAGACTGAGGGGATTTCTTATAAACACCTGATGGGAGGGTGTAAAGGAGACAGAGCCAGACTCTTCTGCGTGGTGCCCAGTGACAGGACAAGAGGTAACGGGCACAAATTGGAACAGGACATTCCATCTGAATGTAAGAAAAGACCTCTTTACTGTGAAGGGGGGGTTGAACATAGCAGCAGGTTGCTCAGAGAGGTTGTGGAGTCGCCATCCTTGGGGACGTTCAAAACTCGGCGACACGGTCCTGGGCAACGTGTTTTAGGTGACGCCGCTTGAGCAGGGGGGTTGGACCGGATGATCTCCAGAGTTTCCTTTCAATCTCAACTATTCCCTGGTTCTGTATTTTCTCAGATAATTTCCTTGTTAAGGAACTGATTTTTAGAAATTGGAATATACCTGTCCCCACTCTCCCTCACCCCTCCCTTCAGCACTTTCTGGAGGACAATGGTCTGCAAAATGGAACAATGCTGAAGAGGATCTCCACTGATCCCTATCCTGTTTTTCCAAACTCTCTGAGAGAGAGCCTGGTTACAAACACAGCTCGAGTCAGCCTGAAAAATGAGATGATGGCTTAATATCAGATCACCTTAAAGAAAAGCTGTATAATCTAAAAGTGTATATGTTAGATTTGTAAAGGATTATATGTAGCTGAATATTCAGCAAATTGCTGGAATTTTGCTACTCGGCAGTAGTTGTTCTCATCCTCTTTTGAGCAATTTCTTTTTAAAAACAGAATAAATATGTGTTTTAGTAGAGATGTATTAGCAATTTCAGCGTGGAAAGAATTGCTCTTAAGGAGTGTGGGAGAAGCAGTAGGAAGCATTTGAAGGCAAAATACACGTGCTAGCTCTGTTTGTGTAGTGTTTAAATCAAGATTGTAGTGTGTCAACCAAATACTTTCGCCAGTGTTAAATTTACACAGTGCTTGCCTGGAACATTTTTACCATTAATCTTCATTATTAATGTTTTATTATCTTGCCTATTTTGTTATATATGTTATACGCAATTTGTTTTTATGTTAATTAATATTACAGTTGGAGAAAGTATTGCTAAGAAAAAAAAAATTAAAAAAATCTTAAAATTGTTTCCATTGTATAACCTTTTCTCTCTTTTTCCTTGTACCCTAAGGATGAAGTGCAGAAACTTTTGGATTTGCTGAAGCAGCAAGACCCCTTGCCCGAGGAGCAGCTGCAAAAGCTGTACATTGAGATGAATGATTTTATTGTTGCACTGTCATCAGTGCAACCCTCTGCCAAGAGAGAAGGCTTTGTCACAGTTCCTGATGTGACTTGGGCAGATATTGGAGCTTTGGAGGATGTTCGAGAGGAGCTGACTATGGCAATATTGGTATGCCTTAACATTACTTTGAAAGTTTTTTTGCACCTTTTCCTAACACAGAAATAAAACTATGTATTTTTTAATACTTTATTTATTTATTTATAATGTGCTGCCTATGAGTTCTAGCATGCTATGAACTTGAAATTTTGCAGTTATCTTCATTTGTTTTAAGTCTGGTGCATGTATCTAACATTTCACTTACTGTATCCATGGTTTCAGTTTTCAGTATGTTCACTATCACTGATTCTTAAGTATTCTAAAAGTTTTGTACCAGTAACCTTAGTTACACCGCTGGCATACAAAAAATTAAGAGACTGCTCAGCTGGAAGATTAGCAGTCTCACTGCTGGTCAGGCTGATACTTCAAACTGGCACCTAAAGATGACAACTTGGATAGATAAAGGCTTTGACTCTGAATAACGATGCGTCTCCCATTTGGAGGTACTTACTAATGCCAGATAATATGAGGCTGATTCATTGTGTTCATTCTTCTGGCCTTTAGAGATTTGGAAAAAAGAGCTTGCTCATGAATGAATTTTTGTCCAACTGTAACAGAAGTCAAAAGTTTCATCTTGGCTTTTCGTCACAGATAACAATGATTGTTTCTTTTATAGGCACCTGTGCGGAATCCAGAGCAGTTTAAAGCTCTGGGCCTGACTACTCCAGCTGGTGTTCTGCTTGCAGGGCCTCCTGGATGTGGTAAAACACTATTAGCTAAGGTAATAATTCTTCTGAATGTGCTCAAAAGTACTGGAGAATCTTGCAGAAGTGGACATTTTTGTAGGAATGACTGGGTCTGGATGATATTGACAGAAGTTGAACTTTTGCATTTATCAGCAGAAATTTAAATTCAAGTCTTTTTGCTGAAGTTATTTGATCTTTTTTCCTTTTTTGTCATATAGTCACTATTTTGCTTGAATGAGGAAAAAATGTTACAAAATCTGAAGGAATGAACTTGATTAAGAAGAAGGTAGTAGCAAAGATGAGATTACTGACTTCTTTATTAGGTATCCACTTCCATGGAATTGTTTTGTAACTAAATGATGTAGTTGGAAGTGGTCTGCACTTTACTGTTTGTATTTATTTATTTTATTGACTTTACTGCAAATAATTTTGTTTGCCTTCTCCTTGAATATTTCACTTCTTATGGCCTCCACTCATCAATATGTATACTTGTTGAAGTGTATAGATTGGCGCTCATCTTTGCCTATGTGATTGAGTTTCTTTTTATCTCCTATTAATCACAGAGAATTCTTCAGCTAATGCTTGAAAACAATTTCGTGATTTTCTGGACCACAGCCTCGTTAAATAGATAGAATACCTTGCTAAGAACTCCACCCCCCTTCCACTTAATTAGCTATAGTTATACCTTGTACTGTTTTCTGTATTCTACAAACATTTGACAACTATGCTCCTTCTCTTTTAAGTTTTCTGTAGCTGCATGGACAGAACCAAAAAATACACATTCTGTGCCATATTATCAGCCTCTGAACTTTCATCAAAACTCAAGGAAAAGAGATTCCTTTGAGAATCGAGTGTGTTTAATGCTGAAAAACGGGTGTTCTATATCTATCTGTCTTTGTCCTAGGCTGTGGCAAATGAGTCTGGACTGAACTTCATATCTGTGAAGGGTCCTGAACTGCTAAATATGGTATGTGCTGGTCATTGTGCTTTTCTTATTTACGGAATTCTTGCCTGAAGCCTGGAGCGAGCAAAATTCCTGATAATTACACAACTGATACAGCAGAAGTTGCCTCATTTAACCTCTGCTTAAAATTTTTAGCTGTGAAACTGTTCATGCATAATGTAAAAAGCTACCTGGGTGGCTTATGTATATTTTGGTTCAGATTACGTGTCTAATGAGTTATTAGGCAGATGGAAGCTGCTTGATTGAAGCAGGATTTCTAAGTGACCAAGTATTTGCATCATTTTGCTGTTGTGTAAATCAGGAAAAAAACCAAAAAATTCAAATCAGCAGTGAGAACAGTTGGTGATCAGTAACTGCAAATCAGCACCTTTCACTAAGCAAAGTAAATTTTCAACATTCAAGCTTGGAAGTGTGTTGTACCAATCATGTTAGCTTCTTAATGGAAGTCTGAAACCTTGGAAAGCAAGGTCATTTTAGTTTATGAAAGTGACATTTAAGGATTGTGATGTCACCCGATAAAAGGGCTGTAGTCTCAAGTTTTGAAGTGCTGGACTTACATTGTGAGAAAACTTCAGTCCCTTTTAGAATTAAGGGAATGCATTGAACTGGACAAGATGGCTACAACCCACATCTTAACTTGGAAGACCGTGGCAGTTACCTGCTTAACAATAATATGGACACTAAAATGAAAATATTAGATTTGAATATTTTTTTCCTAGGCTTTTTTTTATGTGTACTTCAAGTGCTGATATCAAGTAGAGAAATTTAACTCTTTAAGTTAATGAGGAGCCCTACTTCCTTGAGGAGGACAAAGAAAATATTTGGCTGTGGTTGTATCAAAGTATGTTTGTTTGAAAAAGTGAAGTGTTTCCATTTACAACTTAGCAACTTCCTTCCCTCCCTGCCCCCAGTATTCAGGCGGTTGTTATATGGACTTCAGATGTTCATTGTGTTCAGATTGTTCATTACGTTTGTTATGAACAGTTAAAGATCAGCAGGGTCGTTAATGAAGACTGTATTTATTAACTCTCTTAATCAGAATCATGGCAAGTTGCACTTATTCCCCAGACAGTAGGAGTGCTCTTAAAAGTTGTGAGCCTGAGTACTGGGAACTATTGTAAGTGAGCTAGTGACAACTGGTTCCCATGTAAATCTAGTTCAGTGTCAAAATAGATATAGCGGACTTAAGTGAAGTGAATTGGTTAGCAGGTTGCCCTTCTCATTTGGAAAGCACCTCAAATTGTGTTTAAAATTTGAATTTTTCAAGCAAAATCTTCATGTCTTACATCGTTTCGCTGTGATTTGTCGTCTGCTTTAGTATGTTGGTGAAAGTGAACGTGCTGTACGTCAGGTATTCCAGCGTGCCAGGAATTCAGCCCCTTGTGTTATATTTTTTGATGAAGTTGATGCTTTGTGCCCTCGGAGGTCCGACCGTGAAGTGAGTTTGAAAATATCTCCGTAAATAAATTATCTCAATAGCAGCTTTTGATGATAATGTGCTTGCAACAGAAGTAACTGAAAAGGATACCCTATGTAGTATCTTCCAAGAGCAATAATCTGATAGCTCACATTTGAGCAAAAATATGTTGGTAGAATTTTATGAAGTTTAATATTTTTGTTAGTATCTCTTTATCTATATGGAAAAGGTAGTGTCTGGAAAACGGGGATATCCACCAACTTTGGCTGTGTAAAGCTGTAGGAAAAGGTGAGGGAATACAGGTTGTTATTGTGATTAATTTATGGCTATATCCTGGTTCTTGTATGCAACAGTAATGCTTACTTCAACACGTACTGGTCTGGACAATGTGAACTGAGTCATGAAAGTATTTGAGGCAGGAGCATAAGTGGAACGTATTAGACCTCAGAGCTGTTCCACTCATGGAACTTTCCATCTTGATTGTGTTTTGGGGTAGTATCCCAGGTACTATTTGTAGATTTAACTTCTGTTTTTGAGGAGTTTTATTTTACTAGCCCAGATCCTTAGTGTATTGAAAGGAATGCTGCTGTTTTAAACACTTGCTCTGTTTTCTAAGAAGAGGAAACGCATCTGTTTTTATGATATTGTAGTGGTGCATGTATGCTCATGGCTGAAAAAGCAAATAGGTAGGCTGAGTACAGAATGGTACCATGTAGACATTGCCATCTGTGATTTAAGCAGGAGGACTGTAGTTCCATTGTGCAGGAGAGAGGCAGTTTGATCAACTGTTTCCGAGTCTTACCTTATCTTTCAAATTTGCATACTGCACTTCCTACCAGAGGTAGGCAAGCTGAAAAGTTCAGATTTGACTCATTGAATGTCCTGAGGCAGTCGTTCCCACAGAGCCATGCAAGAAGGGAGCCAATACTAGGTACCACTGTAGGCATGGATGAAAGCCAAGTGGGGAGCGAGCGTGCTTCTGTCATTCTTTTCTACCTACGTTTCTTTTCTATAGCAGCAGACAGCAACTTGGTGCCTAGATGGCTAGGCCCTGCTCTTTACAGCCTCCTTTAGCCAGGTAGAGGTACCATGGCTGTCTGAACAGGAGAGTGGTGCCTGTATTTCTCAGGCTGTAATACTAGTGACAGTCCTTGGCATTCATAATTGGAATTCTGGGGTGTTTGGTGTTTTTACTGGCTTTTTGAAACCTATGTGCGTTTTTACCACATATTCTAATTATCTATATGCAGTTTTATATTTGTGTATGTTTAAAATAAAATAGTAACACTTAGAACAACATTCTTCAAAACCATCCAGCAGTTTTACTGTTTAGTTGAACTCTTGTTCCCTCCTTCTCCTTCCCTTCCTCTTATAACTCTAAATAAAATTCAGAATCACCTGTTCAGTTAGGTTGTAGTATGTCGGTACTATGGAGCTCATATATTACTATGAGTTGTTCCGTTTCAGATGAGCTCAGCTGCTGAAAGTGTTGTTTCAGAGATTTAAGTATTTGGAGAACGTTTTTTCAAAGCCTGAATATTGAGCAGTTTCGAGGTCCTTTTAAGACAGATGGGAGGATGATTGGTATAAATACCTATATATATTTTTAATTTTAACTGAGTCCTTTTTAATGGGAAAGTCCCACTTTTAATGGGAAAGAAAATGTGTATCACCAGTAAGATGTGTGGTAGATATATAGGCAGCACAAATTTGGGCTGGCAACAAGCAAAGTATGTAACAGTAGAGAGCCAAAATGAAGTTAGATTAAAGCGCTAAAAAGAGAGATTTTCTTGTTTCTTTGAGTGGTATGGGAGTGTTATTTTTTTCTTTTAAATATTCACATTCTCACTTTTTTTCTCAATTTTGTTGGCAAATTTTTCCTTTTAAAGTCGGGAGCCAGTGTCCGAGTAGTTAACCAGTTACTCACAGAGATGGATGGCCTGGAGAATCGTCAGCAAGTTTTCATTATGGCTGCCACCAACAGGCCAGGTAAGGACCCAAAAATCATAAGCAAGGGAATCATAGGAAATCAAATGTCATTAGTTTTCTTCCCATGGAATCATGTGTTCTTACTTGTTTGAATTATGTAATTAACTTTGTTCTATACTTAAAATTATAGTGTCTTTTCAAACCCAAACCTTTTCTGAGCAATGTATCAGTATATTGATCTGTTCCACATTCTTGCAGGTGACAATGTGAGATGAAGCAACATCTTTAAATGTATCTTAATTAGATTACGTGATGTAAAATGCTTTTAAAGACCTCTGACTTAATTGGATTTTGGATTACCTCCTTAGAATATAAAAGAACAAGACTAAAACTAAAAACACAAACTACATACTTTTTCCTGCTTACATTGGTATTCTATCCAGAGCAACTTTACTGTTTTCTGGGTTTTTTTCCCCTTGAGGCATCTCTGTCATATGTTGAAACTTTTCTTTTTTTTTTTTTTTTCCGTTTGCCTTTTATCTTCTGCTTCTTAGGCTTCATGTTCCAAACTTGTTCCCTCAGCCTGAACTTATTCTGCTCTTCCCTTGTATTCTGTCAAGCTTTGATCCTTACTACTTTCTGTGCTCCCTTGCTGGCTTCTCGATATTTGATAGTTTTTGTAGTTCCTGCAGCATCTTTTGAGTTGATGAACTAAACACTGAGGTCTACTTTAAAAACATAATATGTTTTACAAGCAACTCTCTGCCTCTCTTTTTTCATACTATGGAAAAGTCTTGTGTATTACACACATCAAGAAGCTCATCTTGTCCTGAGTTTGCACTCTACCTAGACACTAAGAATTACAAGTAAGGGAATTTGTTATGACTGTAGAAAGAGACATGCATAAAGAAATTGCAATTCCTTGGTTATGAATGTTTTTCTGAACATTGCAACAGAAATTAAATACATATTTAATAATAATTTTGGTAATATTTAAAAGCATACTGTTGTAGGTACCTGAATTTTGGAATGAACTTTTGTGCCCAGAGGAAGTGTTTGGCAAATTACTGGCAAAGATGAGACACAGTTCATCAAGTTTTATATGTGCGTGTATTATGTAAGAACAAGGTGTAGAAATCTAAGTGACCTAACAAGGGAAAATAGGATAACTACTTTGTCTGTGAATTTGAGGATGACAAAGTTAAAATATTTGACAGATTGTTTGCGTCCTATAGCCTGAGAAAATGTGTTCTGAAATTACTTAGAATAGGCAACTATGAGATTTTTTTTTCCAAGGGCTGAAAAATTCAAACTTTTATGAGGAAAATCGTTCTGTCCGTTGCACCATGACAGACTGTCAAGCCTTCTGCATGGTGAGGTATGAGCAGTAGGTGCTTAATCTGTATATGCTTGTAGAAATTCTTTGATTTAAAGCAGTAAGTTTTCATGGCACAAGTGTAATCATTCTGGCTAATCTATCCACTTCTAGATGCAGAAATGTAAATAAGGTATGTGACTATAAGACATCTATATACAGATACGGTTGGGTATATGAAGAGTGTTAGTAGTAGTGTCATCACGTTGCCTTAGAAAATAGATTTCTCTTTAAATTTGTTACAGTGGTGCAATGTTTCTATTGAGCAGCCTTATTTAAGTGTCAGTGTTTCTCAAGGGCTTGTTTTCTTTAGGGTTGTGTTTCTAATTGCTGATGACAGTAAATTTGTAATTATCTCTGAGTGGTGACTTGGGCGGAGAATTCCAACACATCTGAAGATGCAGAAACATCCAACCTGACTTTCTGCATTGCCAGCTCTGGTATACCACATGTATACATGGGGTGAATACTTCTAGGGCCAGTGTGTGCGTGGCACTGTTTTGAGCTAATGACTCCTCTTACGAGACAGTTGAGCACCTTTGCCAGAGTGTGGCAGGAGCAAGTACTCCTGTCTGGGTATGGGCTGACTCCTTCTGGAGCCAGTTGGCTGTTTCTGCACTGTTTCCCCCATTTCTTTCAGCACCCAGCTTATCTGACTGTTCCATTATCTGGGATATGCTGTCCTTTTATGACTGAAGACCTTGAAGAAGTCTAAACCACTCTGAAGTAGCTGAGTAGCTTTAGAAGGGCTGCTTTAGAACGACTGCCACTCAGATGTTAAGACATGAATATTTGCGTCTGGCAGGTTTGCCCTAATTCCCAGCTTTAGCAGGTTTACATTAGAAGACCTAGAGTGATTCAGTATGTACTTATGCATCTTACTTTCATGCATGTAGGAGATATGCATGTATGCTATTGTAAATCCATCCTTTTATAAGCCTTATATTGGATGCATTTTTACCAATTTGTTAGTATAAAGTAACGTTGTAATAGGTTTTGTTTTTTCAGTTAAAAATTGGTGTTGTCTTGTTCAGCTGTAGCAGAGGACTTACTGTTTTAACTACGCTGGAATAGTTAAAAAAGCAAAACCTTCCTGAGGAAAGGAGCTTGAAGTAATGTGTGAGGAAAGCTGGAAGATTTTTGTGGCATGAACTCAGTATTACTAGCCCGTGATCTTGATGCAAAAATGAATTTGCTGTAAAAATGCCTAGCATAAATAAAATCTCAGACATGGATAATAAAATATAATGATAAACTGAGGGGAATAAATGTATCAGCATATTATCTTAATGGGAATTAATTTTATGTTTTATAGAAGGAATTATTTTGCTGACATAAAATCGTTTTTCTGAACAACAAAGCTTAGCACACATAGATTTCACTAGAGAAAGCAATTATTCATGCAGTTTGGTTCGCACGGCTCTCTTGCTTCAGAAGGGTATCAGCAACGTAACGTATATGAATAACACTTTGTATAGGACTAGACTACAAACTTTTGCTATGATATCTACATTTGTCAGTGTGAAGTAGTATGATTTCCGGCTGATGCAGCTTTTAACAGAACAACTTCTAGTAAAGCTGTGAGAACTGATTAGGGAAACTGAGGAAATGATTTTTTTTTTTTTTTCTGCTTGTATAGTTCCTTTACCCTTTGTGAGTCCAAGCAGAGACCCGGAGTGGAAACATAGTTTAGAGTGGCTTGTATATTTAAATAATTTCTATGAACACTAAAAGCTATAGTGCCTGATGAGCTCTTTTTGCTTGTATAAACCTGGCATTTAAATGAAAGATTTTTCTGTCATACCGATGTTGGGTAGAGGTGCTGGAGTTTTTTTCATGCTTCTGAATAATCTGTGTCCCAGGAGAACTTCCTGAAATCGTCCACTGGCTCAGTATTATGAAGCGAGATCTCATCTTTTTTTAATCTATGCTGGTATAGCAAAATAGGACAGAAAATGGCTTTGCCAGATGCTTCTTTTTTAGAATGGTTGTCAATGTTCTAGCTTTTATGATTGGTTGCTGTTACTGTTAGTGGCTTATCACAGAATGGCCAAGGTTGGAAGGTTTTGAATATCTCCAGGGAAGGAGACTCCACAGCCTCTCTGGGCAACCTGTTCCAGTG